ACACAACATCAGCACTGCAACCTTGAATACATCATCATCATAAGCCAATATTTCTATAAACAGAAATGTATCCTGTCATTTCTTGGTTACTCATGGATAGGACAGCAGTTTTTTTACTGACAATGACATCACCTCCTTACTGCAGTACCTGTTACTCATGCAGCAGCTCACAGGTGTCTGTACTCACAGCGAGCAATCGGAGAAGGCTCATTATCATTATTGAAAACGATCATTCCTGTTCTTATCTGGCCCGTGACAGCAGAGCAGCCGAATCAGACGAGAGGCCATCTTCCATTCTCATGCTCACATCTGCATCCAAAAACTAAAGGCTCTGACAGCACAACCACCTCAGATGCAGATTTTATTCGATTTCAGGGGAGAAGCTGGCCCCAGCCTGGTCAGTCCTGGATATGGAAGACATCTGAGGAAAACCAGGTTGTGTTGGTGGGACCAGTAGGTGGCACTCTCCCCCTGGACCAGAATGTCCAAACCAATGGTGCAACGTACTGTTTCCTGGTCGGAGACACTGTGTTATAGGACCTACCATCCTTACGAGATAGATAGACAGGAGTTTATTGATCCCGAAGGGAAACTGAGGTGTTACAGCAGCCCAGCCCAAGACAAGCTAAAACAGAAATCAGAAATAGACTAATAATTCAAATAAAATAAGTACAGCAATACAAAATAGAATATATAGAGTTAGGTGTGTGCAAAATATGCTCACAATAAAATATGTGCAAAATGTGCATAGGTATATACAGATTGAGAGTACCACAGTATAAACAGAATATTAATGCAGTGTCCAAAAAGTACATGAGTGCAACAGGCTGTCCACAGAGGAGCAGATGAAGGGCTGACAGTCCTAGCCTAGGGCAGTGTTATACAAAGACATGCTGAACTGAGCTCTTGACAATCAGCTTTTGAAAAAGTAGGGGTGCCTTGGCTAATTCCCACAGTGTGGCTGTACACTCTGGCCTACGTAATAGACCGAACACTTCTCCTGTAACAGAATTTCTCACTATACTACCATGCATCCACTGAGTGGACGATGATGTTAGTTCACTCCTAGATGTTATAGGCTTTGGGATCCTTCAGAATCAAAGCTGTTGTACAAAGGCAACCGATCATGACTTCTAATGAATCTGTCACGGGCTGGGCGCCTCCCTGTTTGCTACTGATACAAAAGAGCAAGAGAGAACGAGCCTCTTGCAGATCCCTCAGGAAAAGGATAAGAAAAAATCCTATACAGAGGATTTCCAAGGCGCTCAGCTGGTACACATGCTTGCTTGAGCACAGGAATGATCTGCGATCCCGGGTTCGAGCCCGGGTGGCATCACTAACCGACTGCGACTGGGATTGCCCAAGCTGCGGTTCACAGTGGGTGGGATAAGTCTGCCCCCTGGGCTGCCTGCTGGCATGTGGACACTGCACTGGTCCTCCAGCAGGGGGCAGTAGTGCTGCCGGTGATCTGTTCCAGCCAAAGGGCTGGGAGCTGGGCAGGGCAGGGCATGCTGCCTACACTTGTGCTGGAGCAGTCTGGCTATGCTGCCTTCATAAAGAAGTGTCCCTGCGTGGGATTGGAACCCTCAACCTTTCGCTCAAAAGTCCAGAGCCCTTACTGTCATGAGCCCAGGGAGGTCAAAGGCAAGAAGATCTCAAAAATGTACTTTAACCGAAAGTATAAAAAGTGTAAATCATCTCTTTTTAGATGAAAAGTATATCTCATCACTTTACTTTTAAGAAGGCCTTCCAGATACCTGATATGGATTAATTCTTGTCCATCATACAAAACAATAACATCTGATTATACCATCATGGGCTTTTTGAGGATAATTTTTCCAGTTCCAGTAAGAAAAGTCCTAAAAGAGACTTTTTGTCTCACGTTGATTTGAAACCCAGGTGACGATGATCTAGGAGGACAAACGTACACTCCTGAAACTGAAGTTGCTTCGTTCCCTCACAAACTAGTGCCAGCTCAGTCCCAACAAGGGCAGTTTTCCAAATCCTCTTCCAGTGTTGGAGCATCTGTGTTGTAACCATGGCGATCGGAACTGTACTTAGTAACCAAGAGAGAGGCTAAAACATGGAAACCACCACTTCCTGACGTAGGAAAACCACAACAGCCCAAGTGAGTGGAAACTAACACAACGTGGTAACTAGGGGTTACTCAGCCAAGCACAGCCCTGCCTGTGTGAGAGAGAGAGAGGGGCGTCGCATCCTCCAGCAAAGCCCAGCTGCTCAGGAACAAACACTCCACGATCTGAATCGCACAGAGCACAACCCACCGACAAAGAAAGATCCGGAAACGTGCCTTTCAGATTGACTTCTGCGAGTAGGATGTGTGTGTGACTGTGTGTGACTGTGTCATGGTGTGTAATTGCCTTTTCCTTCGGAACGTCCCTGCAGCGCGTTCGGCTGCTTACCCAGACTGGGAGGGAAGAGTGATTCTTTCTGGGGAAGAGAGGGGGGGGAAACACGATAACAGCAACGCACAAACATCCGGCCTCGCAAAGCAGGGACCCCACCGCAGGGACACCGGGGGTCTTAACCCAGCAAGCTTCGTGCTTCATTCACACCAACAGCTTAACAGCACAAGAAAGAACACCAGGACCAGAGAAGAGTTAGAGAGGGGGCTCATCTTACTCATTTGTTTGCTAGAAACTGATTGATAATGATCCATAAATCAATAACGATCAGTGGTCTTCCTTCGACCTGTTTCTTGAAGGAACTGTCTGAACTGGGCTGTACAACATGACCAGGCAGTTTGCTCCACACCCCTACAACTCTAGGTGTAAGGAAGCGCCTCCCGTCCCAGAGCTCAACACAATGTCTTCTAAGCTTCTGCTTGGACCCTGGTTTCTCTATTGGCCTCGAAGTCGTCCTCTGGATTGGCATCTGAGCTAAAGAAAAGTGTTCATCTTTAAAAATGTCTTAATCGTACTTTTATGCTGAATAGTACCGTTTAAATCCTCCCCATTGCCCTTTTTAGCTCTTGATGTTCAAACGGTTCCCAAGAACGTCCTGGACTACGACCCACAAAGACTGCAGGTGGGGACCCCATTTCAAATGAGGTCTGAGCCTTCAACAAAGCAGTGTGGTGCAGTAGGGCTTGGGTTCAAGTCCCTGCCTACTTGAGCAGAACACATCCTCTCAGATTGTTCCAATAAGACATCCAGCTGCACCAACTGGTACAGCTGTAACAATTTAAGAAAAATGTCATATGAACCAATAAGGAGACACTCTAAACTCAGTTATTTAATGACCTTTCTTAAGTTATTTATGAAGTATTTGGACTCTTCCCTTCTTTTGTACGCAGATCAGAAAACCACCTTCTCCATCACAAAACTGCCCACTCAGAGCCCTGAAGCAGAGGAGCATGCCCTGTTTGTGTAGCCAGCTCCCGTTGGTCTTTCTCCTGGGAATGTTGTTTCTCTGCACGCTGACATTGATGCACACGAATTCATTTCAAAAGAGACGGTATTCGGATACTGTTGGAATACCGCTAAGCTGCCTCTGTAGTGCAGCACAGTTTCAAACGGCCGATTTTTGCAGTCAGTTGATTTGCCTGGAGGGGGGGGCGGGGAGAGCAGTTGGAGCAAAAAGATTTTAAAAAATAAAAGTACAAGTTTCAAGTTGCATTTGGTGCGGAGCCCAGTTCCCGGGGTTTCATTGTGTCAAAGATATTTTTATAGACCTGGGAACACGGCCACAGACAGAGCGCGACGCGGCTCCGTACCGCCATCTAGTGGTGATCGCCAACACGTTACTACTGGGTAGTACAGCTGTAGGATCCAACACCGGTTCTCAAGCATCGTAATTGCAATTCAAACATATACGACTTCTTTTACTGCACTTCAGACCTATCTCTGTGCTGTTTCCCCTCCCTGTGCCCTTTATGTCACAGTACAGCCATGTTTTCTTCACTGCATCCACTGAGGCCAGAAGCAGTCCACCTCATCACAAGGGGCTGACTGCCCGAGTCGTCAGGACAGTGTCCTGGGAGGGCCGATGTTGGAGATCCGGGAAGAAACCCCTAACAGCTGTTGAGGTGGCTCTGTGGCTTTGCCTGTGGCTGGAAGGTTGCCGGTTCCAATCCGGTGGCTGGCAGAGGAATCCTACTCCTTTGGGCCCCTGAGCAAGGCCCTTCACCCCAACTGCTCCAGGGGCGCCGTATAAATGTCTGACCCTGCGCTCTGACCCCCAGCTTCTCTCCCTGTCTGTGTGTCTCAAGGAGAGCAAGCTGGAGTATGTGAAAAGACAAATTCCTAATGCAAGAAATTGTAAAGGGCTAATAAAGTTATGTTATGATTTGAGCCAAGAGGCGCCTCGATGACCCGCCTTTAACGTGCTCACAAACACAATCTCCGCACACGGTTCTTCACCGGCCAGTGTGAAGAACTCACACTCACGGCCCAAGTTTCATTCCCGACACGTGGATTACTAGTTTCTTACGGAAACGAAAGAGACAACTTTCACAAACGATTTTTCCGTTTCAAGCCGCAGGAACGACAACTACTGTAACCTGAAAGCTGGGCACCTCATTCTGGGGCAGAATTATTTGTCGGAGCACAGCTGGGCTCCTGCAGATAGCGGCAAACTTTAAACCCGCAGCCACCCTCGTCCGAACACCCCCAGGACGGACGAGCTAGCCGACGCCATGAGACACTTTTACTCAAAGAAACACCTGCCTCTTTCTCATTTCTCCTACACAGCCCGACGGACATTTAAATAGTGTCGAATTTGCCTCCTGTTTTGTTTTGGGTCATGCGCAGGTGTTAATTTCCTTATTGTGGGTAATTGATACCATTGCTTTCTGAGCGCACAGAGCATCTGGCTTCAGTCAATACAAGCTTTTCAGAAGGGCTACTTCCAGATCCCGGATTGCAAAGGGGCGAGGGGGAAATCTCTCTCAAAGAGAGTCGAGCACGCAAAGGGAGACAAGTTCTTGACGAACAGGCGATAACAAGCGACAGACAGAGAAAATACGGGCGACGTTTTACCTGAGAACCGGGCCGGCATCAATCCGCCGATTTCCTGGACTCGGTGACTTCTTGTCTGTTTGTTTCTTCATTTAAATCCCGATTAATCTTCGGGGAGACTTCAAGAAGACCGCCGCTGACCACTCGCGCGGGATGACGGGTACGCTACCCAAAGCGCACTGGCGACCGCTAACCTCGTTTTAAAACGATTCCGTTATCAAAGATAGCGTCTCATTTGTGTGCGTCCCTACTATCAATCTCGGAAATGTAAATGAAAGACAATAAAGATCCCTATCTACAGTCGCTGTTATACAAATAACTAGGGGACTGATGTGGCTTTTTGCTGCTCTGAAATTGTTTTGCTTTGTGCACACTGCCCCCTTGTGGACCAATGTTCGATCACTTGCCGTCTGTGTTGTATGTGAAAGCGTTCTCAATAGTCAATTAAATGTGGTAGTCCTTGTTAAAATGAGGACTTACTCTATATTGAGTGGTGTACCAACAAATATGAAATCAAAGTCTGTCAATTAATGTCACGTATCTGAATTGCACCAGCAAACATTAATTCAATGTCTATTAATTAGATATTAATGTCACATATGATCAAAAGGGCCACATGTCAGTGCTGGGTTGAGATCCTAAAAGCTACTACATTAAAATATAAAACATAAATTGACCTATATCATATATGCTCAGTAAAATATCAGTGCAAAAAAAGACACTTTTGTCTTTTTCCCTTGCATTTTCAAAGTTAATCCAACGGCTTGTTATAAGAAGCCCTAAGACTCAGATTTTAATAAATACTTTAGGGGAAATTAATTAGACCCCCTTCTGCACAGCTGAACTCAAATTGCCTTTTTTTGTGTGTTTCTTACCAATCCAATTGTCTGATCCATGTATACACATTGTTCCACAACCTGAATTGATGCACACTTAAGTCAAATTTAAAATTACAATGACATCCGGCTGTTTTCGAATCACTTCTTCCAGTTGAGGGTCTTGGGAGCAGCCAGAGCCTGTCCAGATGAGCAGCAGGCACAGGGACGCCAGTCCATCACAGGACACACACACCCTGGACAGGACACCAGTCCATC